TTATAGTATTATTAAGTCCCTTAATACCAGTTTTTCTGTAGATAAAAAAAAATAAATAATGTATACATATACATATATATGCATAGTGAATAAGATAAAAAGTATGTAAATTATAATAACCCTTTTTCTCCTTTGTTTACGAAGAGCGCACCATGCTTTTGCATTTGATGATAGAGCTTTATCTGCAAGGCTGATAATTTAACTTTGATAACACGTTCAACTTTATCTGGCAATTCAGATTCAACATCCTTTTTCAATCGACGAAGGAGAAAAGGTCTTAACACCTATAATAGATGATTTTATTAATCAAAAAATTACCTTTAAAAAAAAAAAAAAAAAATTAACAAATCACACATGCTTACCTTATGTAGTCGCCGAATAACGAGTAGAGACTCTTCCTCATTCAAAGCAATTTTGTCTTGACCACCAGCATTCGCAAATGGTGTATTAAACCATTCTTCAAAGCTACTAACGGAATTGAATATTTTAGGTAAGACAAAGTTCAATAAGGACCAAAGTTCAGGCAAGTTGTTCTACAAACCAAACAATATTAATAAATTATGGATTATACATAAATAACAAATTATTAATTATGTTACCTGTAATGGAGTTCCTGTAAGAATAAGTCGATATCTGAAATTATATTCTTTACTTAAAACTAAAGAAAGTCTTGAATTGACATTCTTCATACGATGGCCTTCATCTATGATGCAATAAAGCCACCGCGGTTTACTTAAGACTGTTTTATCTTTGATAATATATTCATAGGTCGTTAAAAAGACATAAAAATCCAGGCAACGTAAATATTTTCTTTGTAAGGCCTTTCGCTCAGCCGGTGTGCCTTTATATATACACAGTCTTTCCGAGACCATAGGTGCCCATTTTTCGAATTCCATTTGCCAATTAGTCATAGTACTGTACAAAAAGTATATATATATATACAGAAAAAAAGAGTATAATTCAGAAAAAAAAATACAAAAATAAAATAAAAGAAAATAAAATAAAAATAATATATTTACGATAATGGAACAATAATTAAAAAGGGACCATTCTGTTTTTTCTTTTCAATTAGATACGTGATTAACGAAATAGTTTGAATAGTTTTTCCCAGACCCATTTCATCAGCCAAAATGCCATTCAAATGATTGTTGTACAACGACACCATCCACTGGAGACCTTTTATCTACATTTACAATAGAATGAGAATGATATAAATTTTTTTTAAAAAAAGAGAGAAATTAATATTCAATATGAACCTGGTAATCTTTTAACAAGCCACCGATGAGAATAGACGGCTGTTCAACTTTCTCTTGAACTCGATGTGCAACAACATAATAATCAATCTTTTTACCATCCTATATTAAAAAAGACCGACAAAATTATAAATATTGAATAATTCAATATGACAATTTAATAGAGCAATTTTAATATAACAAGAGTGATAAAATATTACCGTTGTTTCAATTATATTATCCTCATCTTCAGTAGCTGTGATACTAGCCGTTACCGTATGATCAGTTGAATCTACTAATTTACCTTTACCTTTATTCAAACGACGATGATGATTTTGCTGATCAACGACAGCTTGCGTTAAAGATTCCAAATATGTATCAGTTTGACGTAATAGATGTGTGATACGAGTATCTTTCTCTTGATCAATAAGTTTCAAATACGCCTCTTCATCATTGTTCTTAAGCGCATTAATACGTTCTTTAGAAACTCGTTCTTTCTCTTTTAGCGCTTGTTTTTGAATATTTGAGTGAAAGTTTAATATTGCGCGTCCCATCCTAATGCGCTTCTCATATTTCATATCATGCGCGTATCTAATTTCTTGACCATGTAGACAAATAGCATTGATGTACTCTAGTCTAGATTCTCTCACACGACGCAAACGTGCTTGAACTCGTTCCCTCTCAGCCCTTTCTGTTGTAGGCCAGTCACGCACAGGTACCACCACCTTCCGTCTGTATGCAGCCGTTGACCGGATAGGCTCAGGTTTTCGGTAATTTGAGTATTGCAATACTTCTTGTCGTAACTATGAATTATAATGGAGATTTTAGGAGCACGCAAGCAACGTTGAGTCCTAAAAATCATGAATTTAATATAATAAAAGTAATACGTAATGTCGTTCATTTTGAAATCATAGTCGTACTTCACACAATTTCACGCGTTCAATCGTAGGTGATCATATATTTTAATCTGATAAAAAAAAAAAAAAAAAAGATAACATGCCTTTTGTTGTTTTTCCCATAATTTCAACGATTTAAGTTCGATTAATGCTTTTAATTTAGGGCCAACAGTAATATTATTTGCATCATCAACATGACCGATTTTAAAAGGATCATTAGCCAAGTTTGAAGGCAACTTTTCAAGATCTTCTATTCGTTTATTAATTCTATTACGTATTTCTTGATCATGATCAAAAATAGACTTTTGCATTTCAGCAACCTGTCCTGGTGTAGGAATATAAGGTATACAAACGGGTTGTTGTGAATCCTCCACTAATATTTTCATGGGAAAATTCAACGAAGCTTTCAGAGATTGCGCTGCCAAAAATTTTTCTACTTGAGCAGAAGACATCATTCCTATAAATACGTGATTCGGTATAGGTAAATCATTAGCCAGAAGCGCAAATGCATATTTTTGACATTTCAGCCTTCGAATTTGTTCTTCAGTTCGTGGTGTCATCGTAATAATTAAAGTAAATTTGAATGCTTGAAAAACACCGTTAAAAAAAATAATATTTATTTGTTTGAGAACTTTATGTAACACAGATACACAGATAAATTTGTCTGAAAATGATGATGCACATGACACATAGTGACGCTACCGATATCGATATTATAAATCTGGCATTCTCAAAATTACTTTTCCCTTATTATTTACATGCTCTCTTAATTTTTGAAACAATGGACTCTTTATCCAACGTTCAGGAATAGGTTTTTTATCAGTTACAAAATAATAAATATCCCAATCAGGCATATTTAATAATTCATCATATTCTTTTAGTTCGGATTCGGTAAATTCATTAAGAAACCTTTTAGCAAATGTCGAAAGTAATAAATCAGTTTCCAAGATTCCTCTTTTTCTAGACTGATAAAGCAGTCTAGCTCGTTTTTGTTCGATTGCTTCATGAGGACGTATAGTCGGTTGTAAAGAGCTATAAAGGAGTCGGTTTGGAAAATTCTTTGAAAGAATATTTCGAAAATTCATTTTTGCGTCAAAAACGATTCTCAATTGTTACCATGTGTACGGTTTCATATATTATTTTAAACAAGATAGCCCCGTGATCAATGTCACACATCTAAAATCTTGCATCTATCGCTATCTCTATGTAGAAAATGATCGTCCGGATAATTAGATCGGAACAGCAGAATTTCTCTTATACACAGCCAACCACAGAATCACCTTTAGTCATCGCAAAATTTAGATCTTGAAATTTGATTGGTTGGTCATTATTAAAAAAAGTAGCGCAGAATATCACAGAATTATTAATATCGCAGTATTAACCATAAATTCAGATCGGCACCGAGAAATTCCAAAAAGTGGAACAAATAAATCAATATCGATATAAATTATGAGCATGTTTATCGAAAATTTAGAAATTTTAGTTATTCCTCTATATAATCAGAGTTGGGCATATCCTAATATAGTGATTACTAAGAGATGTGATTTTATAAAAGTATATCCTATATAAGCACAAATTATAATCAAGATAAATGATCCCTTAAACCGTATAGCGTATATATTTGTACGCAAAATTTTTGAAGACCTATTACTAAAAATTTATTAGGCTTCATTCCCATTTTCTAAGTTAAAATAAAAGCGTGCCACCTATTTAATATAATTTTTTTCAAAAATTAGATATTTAATGTGGATTGTAATAAGAAAAACTAAAAAAGAAACCTGCACGTGACACTTATAAAGATTCTTCACAATGCAAATTCTACAGTTAGAGATGGTATATAATTTAAATCATGATGATATGAATCACTGATTTTTGATTTAAATCAATTTAATGCATGATTTAAATGCACGTCTTGAATGTGTGCCAGGTTGGTGGCACAGTCAGCCTTAGCTGTGCTCATTATGTGATTTATTTAGTGTAGTTGAAATTTAGATAATTAGACAAGTTGTGCAAATTTAATTTTGCAAGTTTAACAATACAACAATGAATGCACAAGTTAAAAATAAATCCAGTTACAAATATTTTTAATTCTATATAATTCAATTCAATTGATTTTTTGCAATATTCCTAGCCAAATTATGCTCTTTTTTATTAATTTCATTTTTTTCAGCACAGAATAATTTGAAAATCAACATTTTCATTCATTCTATTCACACTAGTATCTGATTTTTTAACCCTACTAGACCTTTCTAGATTATAATATTTGACAAATTCTATTTGAATACATATTATTGCATTACTTTTAATATATGTAGAATTCATGTTGTTGTTAATATTATATAAGAAGAAAGTCAATTGAGCAATCAAAATTGATTTTAATGCATGGTATCATTCAATTAATTTGTTCAAAGCAACACAAAATTGTGAACTAGTATTTTGGTAATCATTCTTAACTTCTTTTATAAAAAGATCAAGAGTAGAGTTGTTAAAATTGTTACTTGGTCCAACTGCAAAATTATTAATTTCTTAACTTTGTTTAAATGAATCTCAAAAAAAATATAAATTTATTAATATAATTTATTAAATCTAGTATATATGCAACTTTAAATTATACACACATAGTAAATGTGATTTCTGGTTTTTTATTAGATAATTCTAACTCTTGAGAAGTGAATTTGCATATAATAAAGTATAAAATAAACTGTTTTTAGTAATTTAGCTTAAAAAAATATAAAAATAAAAATAAAAAATAAAATAAATAAATAAATAAATAAATAAAATAAAAATAAAAAATAAAATAAAGAATAAATAAATAAATAATAATTATATTTACTAAGTACAATATAGGTATAAATTATACAGTTATTAGGATCTAAAGATAGTAAAAAATTTAATATTTTAATATAAACCTTTATTACATCAGTGCTTTGATGCTTACAAGATATACTAGCTGTGTCAATTTGATAAGTGTATTTCACTGTTCATAGTATAAAAATGATTATTTTGCTTGATACTTGTTATTAAAAACTCATTTTTCACACTTGTTTTTCTGATTGAATCTATATTTACTATCTTCTATCTGGAACACACAAATTGTTTAGCAAGTTATAAATAATCAAAGCATCTATGTGTGAAATAAAGTAATTGTTATTTATAAAATCTTTCTATTTTTAATATTATATAATGAAATATTTAGATTGAATTATAGGCTTGTATTCAAATAAATATAATATCTTTTAATATATTGAAACTATATTCGATATAATTATCTATAAATAAGCAGCCTTAATTGAAATAATAATGCCTAAAAAATTGCAATGCTTTCATAAAATTTTAATATATCTTTTTAATAAAAAATAGAAAAGATAAAAATTCTGTTTGAACTCAGAATAATATAGATTTATTTTCATAATATTTAATATATAGAGAATCTTCTTTATTTTGTTTATAATTAAAATATAATCAGATTTATTAATACTATGTTTTACATTGTAGAGCTATTATCAGAAAGCTTGCAAAAAATAGAATATATATAGAAGACGAACAGCCTGAGATCAGCAAAATTTAAGAGCATTGTGCTTTGTATCTGAATTGTCTGTAAGAAAAATAGTTAGTCTGATTTGCAGACCATGTCTATAAAATATATATGGAGAAAAAATTGTTTTCAATAAATTTAACTAATTTTAATTATAAGATTAAAATAATATTTAAAATAAAAAACAATTAGTTTTTAAAAAAAAATTAGTTAACAACAAAATAATAAATTATTACTTTTTTTAATATAACTTTTAATTTATTAGAAGTAATAAACAGGCTAAGAAAAAGGGCTCTGATAGAGCAACTTGTATATAAAAGAATAAGCAAGATATTTAAAAGTTTAAAAAAAGCTGATATATCTATATAACAAAGTTCGTCTACCTATAATACTTTTTCATAAATTTGATATATTATGTCTGTTACAATATAAAGAATAAATATACTTTCAATATATATATCATACTTTTGCAAAGTAGCTTTATATTTATCTGAGCTATTATATTTATTTACTACTATCTCTAAATAATCAAATATTTTTTTATAATTTCGTTTGCCTAATATTACTTCATAATATTGATTGATAATATAGTTATATATAATCTAGATTACTTGCTTTATTAGCAAGTCATTTTAATAGTTCTTGATCATTTATAGCAAAAAGATAAAGATTATTATCATAAGAGTATAAAACTGAAGCAGGTAAATAGCTATCATTAAACAGGTTTAAGAATTTGTCACAAATTTTTTTTCTAATATGTCAAAAACTTAATGATTCTGTAAAATCAATCATATAATTATGTATGAATCTAATATTAATTTCTAATGAATAGCTCAACTCAAGATATTATTTCTTTAATCAAAGATAAATATTTGTATCATAATTGATATTTCATAGCTAGGCTAAATGTAAATATTTAATACTAAAAACTATTTGTATATCTTTTCTTTATTATTAATGTTTATATATATATCTAGTTCAATTTGAAGTAGTGTTTCTACGGACTAGACTCGAACCAGACTTTAGTTAAGTTTGAGTCTGGTCTGATTTTCAGGCCAGACTCAGACTTTTATATTCAAACTTTTTAGTCAAGTCTGAGTCTGGTCTAGGTCTGGTCTGAAGTCTGCAGACTAGTTTGAGTTCAAATACTCAGGTTATAGCTATTGTTACTCAGATGGCCTGTATAACTTTAGTTTTCGATAATTATTAGATATTTTATATTCATCTTTTTTAACAATTCCATTTTGATTTAATTTGGCAAGATCACGTATCTTATTCATCTTCGCAAGTGTAGGTACTTTATATTTATCTTTTACAATACTATCACGCTCAATATCATTTTTTATAACCATCATTTGATCAATATCAGCCTTTGACTTATCTAACTGACAGTTGTTCATTCCAAAGACCTTTTTCTCTTCAACATCAGATACGTTACAGTATCCTTTATTAAATTCACATTTGAAGTCTTCATTATCACTAAAATATGCATTACATTATAAACTATACTATATTTATATTCAATTTTGTCATCTTTTATTTTATTCTTTTCGACTTCAATTCCCTGATAATGATAACTAGCGTTAAGTATTCCTTCAGTAAGTCTCATCCTAGGGTTTCTTTGATAGTTAATAAATATGTTATGTTCGTTCTTTTCTATTCCAATTCTATCACAAAAATAACCAATATTATACATTTCATCAGTATTACCCAAATTTCTGGGCTTTGATAAGCAGTTACTTTATAATCATTTCTTTCAGTTCCGATTCCATGTTGAGGACAATATCTGGAAGTATAAGTTTCATTATTATCAACTTTGATTCTATCTTTATTGCTATATCTGAGATCAAAAGCTTTATGACCAATACTATTATTATCCGTATCAGCACCTTCCTGGTAATAATTAGATGCCCAATGTTTATTCTTTTTATCTCCAATTCCATTTTCATAGCAGAGTCTAGAGCTATTTTGTCTATCGAAATATTCATATTCAGCAATTTTCTCACAATATTCGAATGCCTTATAATCTTCCTTTTCAGCTCTATTTCGGTTCGATTATAGTGACCAACTGATTTTTGAGACGGGATAAAATTGCCACCCAAAAAAGTTTCAAAAATCATGTGATATTGTCAATTAGTCATGATTAGGATCATGATATTAATATTTTCGATTCTTCAAAATGAAAAGTGATCATTGCAACCTCGACAAACTAAGTGATTCTGTTAAAGGTATAAAATTCAATAAGTATAATATTTGAAAAATATATACCAATTGCTATAACCAATT